TTTTATTTAAGGATGGCATGAGCTGTAGTTCGTTTAGTTTCCAATTTATGACAAAAATAAAATTTAAGCCTTACTTATTTCATTATAATATATCATATTGGTAGATAAAAATGGATGTTCAGTGTAAACTTAAGGATTTGGGAAAAAAAGAAACAAATCTTCAAGAAAGCACTTCTTATTCAAACCAATGTATTTTTATGACTTGAGCTCCTACCAAATCAAAATCATGGCTATTATACTTTTATGTGCGGGAAGATGTATATTTGGTGTACATACTCTTTGTTCACAATTGATAAGATTATTGCTTTCAGGGGAAAATTTATTTTTTCTTTGACATTAGACATCACTCAAGATGACAATTTAAATATTTTTTATTCAGCTCACTTGTGTTTAGCGCTTTTTATAACCACCATTACTTAAAAACAGAGGGCAACCAAATGATGGCTTGGGAGTATAACCAGACTAGCGAGATTCTTGGAATAATGAAATAAGTTGACTTCTGGTCTTGAATTTGTTTATAATGCTGCTTAACAGGTCTAGGTGGTTTTGATTTCAGCGAGAAAGCATTAATGTACCAAGAGCAGATGAAAAACTGACCTCCCTGAATAACTTTTAATCTAATGATTGGATCTTCATATTTTAGAACTCAATCTTAATGACTCTAATGGTTGACCTCAAATATGCTATAATTCAAAGCAATTTTTATGTCATTTTAAAGTATGTAATTATACACGGCGAAATACCAAATTTGGGCGAAACCGGCAGAATAGCCCATGAGAAATCGAATTTTAAATATTAGACTTCCTTAAAATTCCATTTCTCAGGAACTATTCAATCGATTTCGTCCAAATTTTGCATTTTACAAAGCAAAATTACATGTCTTAAAGGCATAAAAAATTATGTATCTTAAAATTCAAAATTTTTCGACTAATATTAAATAAAATAATAAAAATCATAAAAAAATTTTTTTTTTTGCCTGGAATTACCTTTGGCTAAACAAATTTTATAATTTTGAGCAAAACTTTTCAATTCGATCAAAAAGTTCTCGAGATATGGCGAAATACGCAAAAAATAAAATTAACATTACGAGGTTCAAACTTTGGATAACTCTCCTGATCGAACTATGGAGGCCATATTTTAGAGGTTGCGGGGTCAGAAACCTGAATCGTTCGAAAAAAAGGTATGTTTATTCAGAGAAATGTATTTTTGTGTCTGATTTCGTAACTTAAAATATCGTCTGCAGTAATTAATTAGCATATTTGAAGTCATCCCCCTCGAACCATTAAGACTGAGTCCTAGAACGTGAAGATCTGATTATTAGATCAAAAATTATTCAGGGTGGTCCGTTTTTTCTTTAGGGCACTATACAATTCTTTTTTGACTTTCCGTAAATTATCTAAGACGAAATTATGAATATTTACAGGAGTGTAACATATGCATGCATATTATTTAAATGCGAACACTTCTGTGAAAGACTACTAAAAATTGCTTAAAAAATGTGAACTTGTGCTATTTCGGGAAATTGTGTATAACAGATTAAGAAAATAATTAATATTAACGATAGAGGTTTAAAAGATTAAAAAAGGAAAAGAAAGAACAGAACTTTATCAATTGCTTTTGACCTACGATAAAATCGATTTCTAAAAAATATTTAAATGCTTCAATCATTTACTGCTGTTCTATACTCCATTTTAATTAAATATGGATTTGGGTTCTTGCAACTCGAGAGGAAGTGAAGTGATTATGTTTAACCATGTGATTTAAAACAGATTTAATTGGATATTCGTAAGAGACGTCACGCGTGTGTGTCGAACTTGGATAGCTTCTTAATGATTCAAATGCTATAATTTACCTAGGATGAAGTCATCTGCACGTATATAATTGGGTTTCTTCACTTCAAGAAGAAGAAGAAGAAGATCAGACATACCCACACATGTGATCTATGACGTCAGCTGCAGCTGATCATTTATAAGTAAAAGGGCGTGTTAAAGTTGAGCTAAGTTTCTCTGCATAAGTTAAAATGTTAATTAGAGATAAGTTAATTAATTACTGCGCCTTATGGCATATCGAATTAGTTGAATTATGATTCTTTCTCTTCTACTTCATTTATTTAACTAAGATTTGTTATTTAATAATAAATTTTATTTTAACAGTGATATATTTTTGTTTCGTGTACCTGGAAACTTCGATGCATAATTAGTTTGTTTATGTACCATGTGACTTCGTGCTTGTTTTTGTGTAAAGTCTCTGTGTAAATATTTAGTGAAAGAATTTAAATCTTTACGATAGAATCTTTGTGTAAGAATAGAGAGTGTGCCACTTAAGACAATTGATATTTGACAGGCTTGGCTTACATGAAATAGAATAGAAAGAACAATTGCTAACGTAAACAAATGCCACGTTTCAATAACCAATCAAGATAGAAATACACACACTATGTCACTTGCAGGTATCCCATTAAAAACGAATTATTTAAACTATTTGTCAATGAACTGTACTTTCAAAATATATATTTCTTTTAATTAAAAGTATTCAAAAATATGAAAATTAATTAAAATAAATTTAATTTCATTCTGGCATTTTTAAATAAATTGAAAGTAATTGACATGCAATATGCTAGGTTTACTTATCGTTTTAACATAATGTCTATTCTATTTCAATTTTATCTCATTTTATTATATCTTTCTATTTTTGAAACATACTGGGAATTAATTATTAGGAGAATTATATGGATTTATTTCATAAAAATTTCATTATATCCCATTTTTTAATCTTTCCAAAAGCAAAATTAACTTTCAAGATTTAAAGGATATTGCATTAAAATAAATTTCATTAAAGAACAGCACGTTAAAAGTATGTGAAAAAGCAATTAAGTGAGCTTCCCGATACTAACTTAAATCTACTTCATTAATTCATTTTCCAAAAGTGATGCGAATTAAATAATTTTTCCATGAAACTGAGCTCTTTATTGTTAGATAAAATAATTATTATTAAATAGCAAAAGCATGGAAGCTTCATTTATGCCTGAAATTGTTTTGACGAAAACTTAATACATTTGGAAGCGAGATTGTCAAAAAAATAATTAATTTTCCCCAAAAAGACACTTCTTTTTTATTATTTTTTGCAAAAAAAAAGAGAAAGAGAAAATTAATCTTATCAAAGAATTTTGTTTTCGATGGCATAATGCGTAATTATTCGTTATAGTTTTTATTTATTTATTGTACCTTTTTTATGGTAAATGGAATTATTAGCTCTTTGAAATAGGGAATTTTTTTATTGATGGGACTTTAAAAAAACTAAATAATCCCCTCAGCTGGCGTCGACTTTGAAGAAAATATGGTTAAATAAATTGTTATGCTCTTTAATATTTTGAGCTTGCTTGCATTTTAGAAACTTTATACCAAATTTAAAAAAAAAAAAAAAAAAAAAAAAAAAAAAAAACTGAACTAATTCTTGAAAAAGAGAAAAATAGTAAAATTATTTTTTTCTTCAAAAATCTTAACGTAAACAGAATTTAAAATTTCATGAAAGTATTACTCAATTATTGAAATAATTAATAATTTTAATGCATTAAAAATGTATTTTAAACCGAAAACTAGCAAACAATCAGATAAAAAAATAGAATGTATTAATACATCACTTACTAAATATATTGATATTTTGATTTCGTGCATGCGATTGGAATTTTTTCAAAATTTTGTATGCTATTGTGGAAACTGAAATTTGAAAGCATACGCCAAACCTTAAACTTTATGAACATTTTAATTATCTCATTCATTTAATTGAACAACAAAAAATATTAAGAAATGTTAAATTAAGTGAAAGAAATATTTCAAATATATCTGTGTCTTTTTAACTTTAAAACAGACAATATTTTTAATGTCTGTACAACAAAGCAATAAATTTTTTACTTATTTTTATTGACCAGAAAATCACACGGTATCATTTAGTTTACTCACATGAAGATGCAGATTTCCTTGATTATCAATAGCATAAAATTATTAAAATTTATTAAGGTATTGTTTACCTATTAAATATATCTTAATCCTTAAATTTAAGGAGTTAACAGTTAATATTTATGTCTCATTCTTCCTAGATATTTTATGTAAATATCATACTTTTTAATTTGATCAACATAACATAGCAAAAGCTTAAAACTGAAAGTAGTGTTTCTTTAGTATAAAGAAAGCCGAAATATAAATTCCGGACAATATACCGAAACAGAACAAAACGGTGAATGTTTCAATTTAGTTTAAGCCACCAGTTCTTACAATAAAATATTTAATAAATATTTCGGATTTGAAAAATAATAACTTTTTCAAACTTTATTTTAAATCTGGTGAAAAAATAGGCTTGTAATATTTTTTTCTCTCGAAGGAAACATTAAATACAACTAAAAAATCGAACTTCAGAATTGTTTCTTTTGCAACATTATGTAACTCGTGCTTCAATAAGCATTAAGAATGATAATGTATTTGGAATTGGTATATGGTCGGGATACGTTTAACATCGCTTGTTTTCCATTATAAATATACATCTTTATTCTTCACATTTTGTTAAAATAAATGTTTTGTATGAAAATAATAAGATAAAAAAACGGCGATATTTTTAATGATCATCTTAAGTTTTCAAGATGAGCAAGAGTCATTCGAAATTCAAACAAGATTGCGACTATGTATTTTTTAATATTTCTTATCTCAACAAACTCATCTGATGTAACAATATACATCATAAAACAAATAAATAAACATTTAAAATGCACGAGATGAGAATGTCACAAAAAAACAACAACTTGGAAGTAAACAAAATATAGCCATAATTTGAGTAACGCGAAATACCTAAAATCGTTCTAAACTTCAAATCATTCTAATTTATTTGTTTTTGTTGCATTACCGCCTTATCGAATTTTTCGATGAACACGCTCTCGTGATTGTCGTCTTCAATAAAATGGTCACTGATTTTTTTCCCATGTGCATTGTGATCTTGGTGTTTTTGCAACAATGGTGTGGAGATTCCCTTCTGGTGTCATAGTGTCAGTGGTTCCTGTACCACGAGTTGTTGAAATTAACAGAATCGAGGATGGTCGTGTTCATTTGCATGGTTCAGATGGAAAGTTTTTAAACATTCTAGCACAAGCTTTGAAATTTAAATACAACGTTAAAATACCACCTGACAGAGAATGGGGTCGAATGACCGATGATGGGAACTGGACTGGTATGATAGGACAAGTATTTAGAGGAGAGGCAGACTTTACGTTATGGACTTCGGTTACGAAAGAACGTTCAGAAGCAGTCGATTTTAGCGAGCCCTATGACGTGGATGACTTAACTTATGTTACTACGTTGCCAGAAAATTTACCTAAAGCTTATGCTTTCTTCCATCCTTTTGATCGAATCACATGGTGTTGCCTCATATTTCTCATTTTAATGATCCCATTTTTTTTCTGGTTGCTATCTTCTTCTGGCCCATCATACTTTGAGCGTCTATTGTATCTATACGGGACGATTGTGCATCAGCCTTTAAATGATGAACATTTTTACCAAAAAACTCTTCTTGTATTTTGGTGGATTACTTCTATAGTTTTATCAGTCAGTTACTCAGGAGCTCTTTTATCCTTTTTAAGCATCCCTCTGCAAGAAACTCCCATAAGAAACTTTCAAGAATTATCCATGGCTGTATCCAAAAACCAATACAGGTGCCTTGATGTTAACGGAACTGCCTTTGTTCCAGGTTTACTTGCAAGCAAGCGAGAAGATCTCGTACATTTAGCTGATACAATTATAAGAAACAATTGGTTTTTAACATATCCCGAATCACAAACAGAAACTTATTTTGATGGTCGAACAGCACACTTGGGTAGTAGAATATTTTTATATTTCAGATTTGGAAAGGCTCCTTTTACAAGGAAGTATGTATCTGAAGATACAGCTTATTCTTATGAAATGGCATTGGGTGTGAGAAAAAATTTTTGCTGCAAGGATGAGCTTGATGCTGCTATTGTTAAGATTAAGTACGCTGGTATATATCAAAAACTTATAGAAGATGAACTGTATCAATCTTGGTTTAAATATATAAAAAATTTAACGATACCGGAAACTAACCATCCATTGTCTGTACAGGATTTATCAGGAGCACTGATTATTTTTGCTTTTGGATGTATTCTATCAATTGTAGCATTCATTGGAGAATGCTGTTTCTATAAGAAAAAATGAATTTTCTTACATTTACATCATCTCATAATCATAACTATAACGCCTTATATTAATATCAGAGTACAATTGTTTTACTATTATATGCGAATAAGAACATACTTATAAATATTTATTAAATTGGTTGTATCATCAAGAGTAGTTAATATGCAAAATCTGCACATTAGCACAGATTTAATCTTTATATATTTGTCTCATGACAGACAAAACAAATATAGAGCAACAAATATTTTTTAAATAATTTTAAATTATGGAGAAGCAAGCTTCAAAAAATTTAATTGTTGAAAGAATTTTTTTTTATCGTTAATTTCTTTTTACTTCGTAATATGTCATTTTAAACAATTATATCACGTAAAATTGTTGCTCTTAACAAAATGGCAATAAAAATTTATCTATATTTAAATCTCTAATGTTACCTCTCAAAAAGGCTTGCCAGTGGCAGCTGCATTTTACTTTCTATGTTAAAAAATGATGAACGTTTTATAATTGAAAGACATTGATAAAGAAAGCATAACTTTTATGATATTATATGTATTTCATCAATCTCTGGCATGCTTAATGTAATATATAAGCTTTCTTGTGTTGTGTATTTTTTTTTCTACGTACTAACTAACACAGAGTAAAAAGAAAAAGGCCTGAGCATAAGCGTTGAATTGTTAATATATAAATCATTAAAATTATTGATCAAAATTATTAATAATTTATGCATAAAATTATTAATTTATTGTATTTATTGATCAATAAGGATATGTAAAGGCATTAGTTCAACCAAGGCTTGGTTTAACGCATTGTACTAATGTTTAATTTCTGATTATATACTATACGGTAGTGGTAAGTGATAAATATCAGCATTAAATTATTTGAGATAGTATCAGTAATAAGCCTCCTCGATCAAACTTCATTTTTAAAAAAGAACAAATAGCGTTGGGAACTTTTTACTTTTTTAGTCCAGTTTATTTTTTACGTAGAAGAGAAAATAATTTGATTTTGACACATCTAAAATGAAAAACGTAGGGCATATCACTTTCGAAAGACGCGGAATTTTTGTTAGTGATGAAAGTCTAATACTAAAGTGCTGTATAGACTGTTTTTCACTTTAGGGGTGACAATAATAAATATATGTATACACACTGAGAAAAACTGTATGGTCAAAACTTCCAGAATATATTAAAATTTATGGTGTTTATGACTGTGTGGAAATAACAAAAATCTCGATAAGTTTTACCGAAACGCTTTGGTAATGGATTTGGCAAAATTAACAAAATATGGTTTTATAATGTGTATAAAATTTGGTAAATGTTTTAAAATTTTGCAAGTTTATCATGATATTTTAGAGCATGTCATAAAAACCATTTCATTAAATGCACTTTTCCATTATGTATATTTTTTACTAAATTTGCAGTAGTAACAACTATAATTTTAAAAACCAGAATTTCCGATAAACCGTTGTCACAAGAACAGAAAAATTACCAAATGAAAGGTTTAAATATCGCATATTTTGTGTTTTAATACTAGAATTTTTTTTTTTTACCAGAAATGTTTTAATAATATAGTATTGTAATTTTACTAGAATATTTTTTATCCGCCCAGAAACATAAAAATGCGTTTTCCATCTTTATTTACAAATTCCTAAATTCTTTTCGTTAGTTTGAGGGATATTGTTTTAAATAAGTACAATTCTACTATAATTATTTAAATTCATATTTATGATGATAATTATTTCATGACATATAAATCAATCAAATGTTAAAATATTGTGTTTCTGTTATGTTCTATTAATAAAAAAGATGAAGAAATGGATATTTTCTTCATTAACTTTAAGTTTAGTTAACAATAATAAAATATTAAGTACTTGGTTAGAACGTTTTATTAAATTTCAAACGAAAAATAAATCTTCATAAGTCATTTATTTTTCTGTTTAGTGATTTTTTTTTATGTAATCGTATTCATAAACTTGTTGATAGATGGCGCAAGCCGGCTGAATTTCGGTACGAAAATTGGTGATCATTAATTCGAATGGAAATCTAGCGTTTGATTTCATTATTAGTAGCTTTAATAGAAGGATATCTAATTTTAAAGAAAGTGGTAAATATGGTTTAATTTTTACTAGCTATATCAAATGTGGCTCAAAATTTTTTTTTATTAAAAGTTTATAATATATTTAACATTTCAAATGATTTTCAAATTATCAAAACTCCATGTTTAAAATTAAAAAAAAAATTCATTAAAGAGATCATTATAATAGCAAGAACAAGCTGATTCAGTAATTTTTGAGAAAAGGCGCATTTTTGTTACCTTACAGCAAGGATGTTTCTAATCACTTCTTAACAAATAATTTAAAAAAAACAGACATATGAATGGAACACATACAAAAAAAAAAACTCATTATTAGTGTGTAATACATTTAATATTTGAAATGATTTTTTAAATTGTCAAAACTCCAAGTTACAAATTAAAAAAAAATCGTTAAAACTAGCTGTATAACAGCAGTAACAAGCTGAAATATTATTCAGTATTTTCTAAGAAAAGGCACAATTTTCTTACTTTACTTTAAGGATGTTCTTAATTACTTTTAAATAAATAATTAAAAAAAATAGATGTATGAATGAAACACATATATAAATGAAGCACTCATATGAAAATACTTATATCACTTATTCTAAAAAAATTACAGTATCTAAAAAAAGTAAATCACTTAAGTAGCATAATTTCCTAAGTAGCTTAATTTAAATGGATCTTACATTGTTTTTTTCTCCATCAGCTAATAAAACCATTACCATGTCATATATACTGCATTAAAGGGAACAGCAGAGTTAGGAACATTTTAACTTTTTCAAATGAAGCTAAAATATTTTATACAGTAATTTTTAATAGCTTGCAGGTTGACTTCACATTGACCAGTATTAGTTTACAAAACATTAATTAAGAAGGACAACTAAATTAAGCTGGAAAACTAGTCCCTCGATGGAGTAGTTGGGGTCTTGGCTAAAGAAGCAGAATGATGAGTGTTTGGCGCAAAAATATCGTGTTCATCCACTACAAATTGCGAGACAAAGATGGTAAGTTAGAACATTGTTAGGGATATTTCAGCATTTTCAAATAAAAGAGAACAATTTTAGGCAGAAATCTTTGTAATTCTCAAGTTGAATGCGCATAATTTAATATTCGTATACAAAATCTATATTATATAAAACGCTAATACGTACGTATGTATGTATCAATAAAACTGATGATATTTCTTTTCTCGCGCTGGCAACAGTTTTCATTTTTAATTGATTGAATTCGGCGCGCAAGAGCACGTAGTGAGCAACCAGATAACAATAACCAGAGTGAGCATTATCAGGTTGTTCAATTCAGATTCATGCACTAAAAACATGACAATATTTAATTTAAACTCAATTAGGAATTAATTAATTAATTGAAGTGAGAATGCTTTAAAAGGCCGCTGTTGAATTGATATTTTTCTACTGGGAGCTACCTAAACGTCTAAAAAACGTTTAAGTGTTTGTATTGAATGCATTGAATTTTTTTATATTTCGCGTTTATTTATGCATTGAATTTTCACGCTTTAAAATGCAGAATATTAGTGAAGCAATATTTGATAATTTATTTTGCTAATATGTTTCTTATTTAGCTAATGTTTTGATTTTTTCACCATGTACAATCTAAATAGCTAATATACTTTTTTAAAAGCCAATAAGAACATTGGTAGAATTCTTCTACATAAGTACAATACTATGTCTTTGATGATAAAATACTATGTCTTTGATGATAATATATTATGTCTTTGTGCTAGAACATTGTGTTCATTGGCGAGCGAGCGCAGCGAGCCATGGTTCACGGCGTGAACCACATAGGATTGCGTAGCAATTCTCGGGGGTTGGCGAGCGTTAGCGAGCAGGGGGCGGAGCCTCCTAGTATTATATAAAACGCTAATACGTACGTATGTATGTATGTATCAATAAAACCGATGATATTTCTTTTCTCGCGCTGGCAACAGTTTTCATTTTTAATTGATTGGATTCGGCGCGCAAGAGCACGTAGTGAGCAACCAGATAACAATAACCAGAGTGAGCATTATCAGGTTGTTCAATTCAGATTCATGCACTAAAAACATGACAATATTTAATTTAAACTCAATTAGGAATTAATTAATTAATTGAAGTGAGAATGCTTTAAAAGGCCGCTGTTGAATTGATATTTTTCTACTGGGAGCTACCTAAACGTCTAAAAAACGTTTAAGTGTTTGTATTGAATGCATTGAATTTTTTTATATTTCGCGTTTATTTATGCATTGAATTTTCACGCTTTAAAATGCAGAATATTAGTGAAGCAATATTTGATAATTTATTTTGCTAATATGTTTCTTATTTAGCTAATGTTTTGATTTTTTCACCATGTACAATCTAAATAGCTAATATACTTTTTTAAAAGCCAATAAGAACATTGGTAGAATTCTTCTACATAAGTACAATACTATGTCTTTGATGATAAAATACTATGTCTTTGATGATAATATATTATGTCTTTGTGCTAGAACATTGTGTTCATTGGCGAGCGAGCGCAGCGAGCCATGGTTCACGGCGTGAACCACATAGGATTGCGTAGCAATTCTCGGGGGTTGGCGAGCGTTAGCGAGCAGGGGGCGGAGCCTCCTAGTATTATATAAAACGCTAATACGTACGTATGTATGTATGTATCAATAAAACCGATGATATTTCTTTTCTCGCGCTGGCAACAGTTTTCATTTTTAATTGATTGGATTCGGCGCGCAAGAGCACGTAGTGAGCAACCAGATAACAATAACCAGAGTGAGCATTATCAGGTTGTTCAATTCAGATTCATGCACTAAAAACATGACAATATTTAATTTAAACTCAATTAGGAATTAATTAATTAATTGAAGTGAGAATGCTTTAAAAGGCCGCTGTTGAATTGATATTTTTCTACTGGGAGCTACCTAAACGTCTAAAAAACGTTTAAGTGTTTGTATTGAATGCATT